TTTCCTCTGTCGCCTTTTACGACACCCACGGGAAGATATGGGGTAGTGGAAATTCTTAACCGCCACTACACGGCTAAAAACATACAAGATGAATATTTCCTTGCCTTCTAGGAGCGTATAGGGAAAATATAAACTTTGTATTATTACTATTGAAAAAAAGTTTTTGCAAAATATCACCCATAATTGATTGACTAAAATGTACATTAGAAAATATCTTTAAAATTGCTTTAGTTTCACTACCATATAAATTTATTATTAGATGCCTTCGACATAGCGGTTAAAAGACACTTTACTTGATAATGTCGTTCTGTAATAATATGGTGCGGTTAACTTTCGTTGATATTCATTGGTAAGAGAGTTATCAAGTTTATCGAGTGCGTACAAGATTATCTGAAAGTATTTACTCTACACTTTCCATTTTATAGAAAATTGTATAAATGTTTTCGTCTTAATATCTCGATACGTACCTTACTTATCCATATAGATCAAGGATTCCCAAACTATTTTGAGCAAGAGACCCCTTTTCCAAAATTAACTGATACCTCAGTCTCCCATAGCCTAATTAGGCTTTAAAAATCCCAAATTTTTTTCTCATTGATACAAAATTCTTACCAATTTAAAAACTTTGCGTTGGGTTAAGTGAATAAACTTATATTATTAGTCATTCTTATACCAAGTTGGTACACGTAACACAACTTATACAGTATATTGTAAATTTCAAACAAGAACTTGTATTAATAGGGGTCGACTTTTAAACCTCGTCGACCCCCAAAATCAATTTTCGTTTATGTCGACCCCCCGGGAAACCGATTCCGAAACAAAGGGGTCGATATCTACCACTTTGGGAATCCCAGACCTAGGTAATTTTAAAGCCTTCCATATATGACGAAAAAACCATCTGGTAAAAGTAGTCCGACATAAAATTATTATTCTGAGTTTCGTCAGGGAACAGAGTCAACGATGCGTTGGATTACAATGTATACCTACTTGACTTCCTCTCAATGTTTTATTATATTTCGTTTTAATTATAATAGTCTTCTAATTATGCTGTTTGAATATACAATCGTGCGACAATCGCAGACAGCGGTTTTACGTAATACTGCTGGAAACAATAAGATAATAATTTACGTTCTCACCAGTACGTTTAGTCTATTAAATGTACCTACATAGGTTTAATAATGCGTCTATCGGTTTGTACATTCATAAAGAATGGGCAGCATTAACATTAATGGTAAACTGAAAGTAAGGGTGAATAACAAAATTTTTACAGCTCTTAACGACCGACATATATCCATGGTATCCATTAAAAATTCTGAACCTGAATGCCACAGCCTTACAAACCGGTGACGAGGCGCATAATAACCAGAACCACAGAATAATTAATAGTTCAAGAAACCAGAATGATTATATTGTTCTTTGCCCGCGCCAATTCACTCTTCGGATTCGGAATAACTCTCGAAATAAGCAAGTGGCTCGGCGATGCGGCTATGTAGTTAAATCTGCGTGTAGTTCTTCAATAGACCTTCAACTCCATCATTATTTCATCATTACAGCCTAGCAAAGTATACTGGTGAACATAGTTCTCACCTATATATTGTTTCATAGGGGAGATATTAGCTAAATTGGCCACGCTTGACGGACGGGTCAATTCAATATGCTTGTGTAATTGTGCATCATTTTGTAGCTCAATTAGCTATTTTTGTTTAATAATCGATAGTTGTTACACATAATCCGCGGTTCAACTTCATATTCAATTTTTTATCATTCGTGCACTTCATATATAAAGTTACAGCATATATTATAGCAGTGGGAATTCATGTATGAAATTGTAAAATAGGATCGCGTCCGCAGTCTTCGACCACTTAACCCTAGGCCCGCCCTGCACGTGCCCCCCCGGGTTTTCCTTAACGAGTCGATGTATGAGCACATCAAAGCGTGTTAAAGAGATAACGGATTTTAGCCATGTGGTAGGGGCGTAAAAGCTACCACCCCTTTTTCGTACAACGAGTCGAGAAAGAGGAAATGACCCTGTGTTCGTAGCATGTCACTCATATCCTCATGTCTTGATATCCGGGAGGAGTTTGTATGGAATACGTTAAGATTAAAATTGTTGATGTTTAATTTTTTATCCACCTTCTTTTTGACACACTTTTCGCATGCTGATTTCATATTTCCATATCTACGAGTATGTAATAATCTTGTATTACGTTGTACTGTGGTCACGGAACAAAACGCGCATGATATAGTGATTTTATTCAAATTATAAGATTAATTTCTTAATTTTATTTAAATCACCGGAAATTAAAGTTTAGTAGAACAAAATTTACGCTCTAGAAGAACGTGTAAGGTCATGAATATGTAACATGAAATAACGATGTCATAATAATTTTTACTCAATGATGAGATCAAATTATGAAGTATTACTGTAGCTTAATTAAACAGAGAGATTAAAAAAGACTATTCAGTTTACGGTAAATACTAAGGGCTAAATTATCAATCGTCAAATAAAAGTTATTCGTAGGATTAATCCAATATATGATTTTGCATAAAGGAATGAAGGGATGGATATGCTATCTCCAGGTTGTGTTTTTTTAAAAATAGAATAAGGGTGATAAACGAGCACATAGTTTATCAGGTAAGTGGATGCTGTAGCCCATAAATGTCTACAATTATTCTAAACTATGAATCCAAATGCCGATGCGTTTTCACCCCTGAGGACTATGATAGAATAACTACCTCGTTTCCAGTTAAAAAAACGTCTCCGGTTCTCTTCACTCAGCATACGATCTGAGGACAGTAATTGAATTAATAAAATAATTCAACTATTTCACTTTTATATCAGATAGTAAAGTTTAAAAAAGTAAAGTTACAGCCTATATATACGTCCCACTGCTGGGCACAGGCCTCCCCTCATTTCTGAGAGGGTTTTAGGGCAAGGAAGTGTCCGCCGCACTGCCCCAATGCGTGTTGATGAACTTCACATGTCTTTGAAATATTTTTTCCCTATTCCTCAGACATGCAGGTTTCCTCACGATGTTTTCCTTCACCGCCGAGCACGTGGTAAATCAGCACTTAAAATTCCAATTATAAATTTCATTGGTGCCGGCGGGGATCGAACCCGGGTTACTCGCGTTCTGTTATATTTACAGCGAGCGTTAACCATCTGAGCTACCACGGCTCAATCAGATAGATTATAATTTATTTGACGGATAACTTTTATCTTAAGGGTGAAAAATTGGTTCTTAGTTACTATAATTTTTGCAAACACATTTTTTAACAAATAGAAAGCAATGACTTAAATGCGATGTCGTGGGTAGTATTTTCTCAGCAAACAAAGTCAAAAGGGTACATCGATAATACTGGAGAATCTCTCACTGGGTATCCGCACCCAGACTATCTCCCTTCTGGGCGTGGATACCCAGCCCCCGCGTTTAGGACGTTTTGGGCGTGGGTACTAAGCCCGCAAGTTTGTTCCGGCACTGCCGGACACGTGCCGGAACAAACTCGAAGTCGGGTTTTTCTAAATCTAGTCCAGTTTAATCTCCAAAAGACATAGGTTTGCACGTTTACCGAAAAGAAGAAACCCTTTGTCGTATTTCCTCAATTTAGGGCACTCCCCTCATTGCCTCAGCCAGCTACGGAACCCATGGCGTCGACATTTCAAGAGACGTACGGTATTCAACGGAGAGCGGCCCAGATCATCGATGACCAAGTTCTTTCCGATCGGCTTTATACACTAGCCTTGCGAAGAGACGTTGCATATTTATGCATTTTTACCGCATATACCAGAGGAGTACTGAGAGGACTTGTTCAGATCAATTCCAATGCAAGAAAACACTGCAACAGAACTCAATTCCTCACTAAAAATACCATGTAAATGAAATGAATGAACATATATTTAGTGATTTTTTAAACAACCCCTTACAGGGGCGCACTATTCTTCTTTATATAATCCTAACTTACATTTTTTCCCTTGATTTTTCTGAAATTTGTAAGTCACGGATTATCATCAATAATTTATAAGCGTGCAGCAAGCAGCATTAAGTTGTGCTCACATTAACATATAAATTACCTTCTTCTTCTTCTTCTTATTCGTCATCAGCCTGTAAGTTATTGTAAGTTCACTGTTGAGTATGAGCGTCTCTTGAGGACTATAACTATCCGCTCACCAGATGTCACCTCGCTAGTTAGGACTGAGATAATGTTAAGACTGCACTCCCCTTTCCCCAAGGGGGGTCGCTTCCGATACGGCAGCAGTCCCACATACCCACACAGCCGATTGCGTGGTATGCTTAGAGCATTTAATACCTCCCTCTCCCGCTTCCCGGAGGGAGCCAGAAGTAAAAAGTTGCATTTAAAATCAAAGTTTTTCGGTTTCTGGTGTATACCTCTATCACAGTTTAAAGATAGTTAAACTGTGCCTCCATACACAAAAGATTGCCTCAGTGGTTACTTTTTACTATTTATTTTTTGCACATTTAGTCTCTTTTTAATTCTTTTACTTTAAAGAATTGGTTTAGCAATTAAAATAGAATAAATACTTCTACTTTCTTAACTTTATGTTTTTCTATCAATTTACCTTCACCCATTGAAATCTGCCAAATGTTTCACTGGCACAAACGAAGTGTAGACGAAGATCTTTCTGGCTTACACCCTTGGTAGAATGTTAACGACACCCAAATAACAAAATGTGGTAGCGAATTCTAGGGATGAATTTGGTTAAACTATTGTTGCTGCATGCTTACATTAGTTCGTAATCAGCTTCTTAAAGGTTTTATTATGAAAAAAATTATAGGAGTTCCGTAATTGCCGCAATATCGTAGAAAGCATGTTATGTCTTTTTGTCTTTAAAACGAAACACAAGACGTGTCTATGCTTAGGACACTTAAACGAGAAGTGAAAGTAAATAAATTGTCAAGTGAGCCACGTTAAGAACATGCATTTATTTAAAGTCTCACAGAAATGTTAAAAAAAACGTAACAATAAATGAGGCACAGAAATTAAAAGCCTTGAAAGTCCTTCTCAGTGTAGAGCTTACGCTTTTTTGTTATGTTGAATTGTCCTTTCTTTTCGTTGCTGCTTATCGTGGACGAAGTTTTGCTGCCACTGTATGTGACTTGAAGAGTATTAGTTGCTCTTGGCACCTTGTTCTGATTTATTATGCATTTTGGCAGCTGCTTAGGACCCTCGGGCACTGGATATAAATCAACAGAAGAAGTGTCAGTGTATATTTCTCTGCTCACAGAATAAGGTCTTTCCAACCCGCTTTCGAGTTGCGATGAGTAAGAGCTCTGAGCTAGGTATTCTTTGAATTGGCTTTGCTTCAGTTTTTCTTCCAGTTCTTGTAATTTCTGGAAATTTAAAACTTTTTAGTGGGTAAGAGTTTTGTAGATGTTCATTTTAAATATTTACGACTTAATCTCAGCCTAAATAAGCAGGGTTTGGTAGGGTTATATGCTGCCATCTTTCGGAAGCCATAATATGGATATATTTTGCTTTGAGGAGTAGATAATGCATCTGCGGCTTTCTTTGTTGCAGGTGCCCATGGAGTGCAGAAACCACCATTACTCACGTGATAAAGCTATGCTGCAGCTATATTAATAGTATATACGTCCTCCAGACCGAATTTCGATCACAAGGGTCTGCCTCAACGGAGACCAGCCATCGGCGCGGGTAGGATTATAGTGCAAAACAGGTGCACTCTCTATTCACTCACTCTCATAATCCATCACGTAATCCGATACGACCGGAGTGAGATCAGTCGCAGGACCAACAGCTTTACGTGCTTTCCGAGGTACGGGGGTGAGGCACCGCCAACTTTTCACTCCGGGTATTTACTGAGAATTTCATGACGGAAAACACAATAATTGATATTTTGGTCTCACCCAGGATTTGAACCCAGGACCTCATGATCAGCAGCCGCACTACTACAACCACTAGACCAACAAGGCATTCACTTATTATTAGTTATTAGTAGTATAGTTGTAGCACGAATGGAACGGTTCGATCGGGAAGGACCACGCTCTCACAAAATACCAGCGTAAAATAGTTTAAAAAAGCGTTGCTTAGTCTATTCAAAAGGCCGTAAAAAAGAAGTATAAAGAATGTCTATAAAACTGAGACATAAAATAATACAATCACTCACACATCGGTACGCATCAATGTTCGCATCAGTCCTCGCACTTTGCCTAGCTAGCTGGTCTTGAAGTTGTGCGACTTGCGCTGCAGTACGTTGAATCCTTTCTTCATACTCTAGCACTACCACATTCATCTATGCAAGCGATGTGAAAGTAAAGTCAGTAGACATCAGCCGCAATAAAACGTACACGAAATTGCCAAAGAAAATGATTTGACAATCACCAGTTTTAGAATGCACAATACATATACATCCATAAATAAACGAAATCAGAAACAAACAAAAATAGGAGTAGGTACAACTTTTTCATAACGAAAGTCCCTTACTAACGACTCCTAGGTAAAAAAGTATGTCTAACATCTAGTGTAACAAAAATGGCTACAGCTCGTATAAACTATCAAGAAATATTACAGATTTTTTTTTTGCAATACTAATTTAATTTTACATCTACCTGTACATCTAGATGTTGGCGTCCAATGGTACGTTTCACTAGGAGTTTTCTTCCGCGTACGACCTCTCTGTGGAATCGTTTACCACCGGCGATTTTTCTGGACCGATACGATTTAGGGACCTTCAATAAAAGAGCTTACTCCTTTCTAAAAGGAAGGCGACGCACCTGCGATTCCTGGTGTTGCAGTTGTTCATGGGCGGCGGTAGTCACTTACCATCAAGTGAGCCGTAAACTCATTTGCCCCCTCTCCTATAAAAAATTGGTTAAAACGTTACCTTGTCCCTGTGTTCCGCTTCCACTTCATTTAGTTTGCTCCTCAATTCCGCGACCGAGAATGTGAACTGCGCTATTTGCGTATCAGAATCGTGTTGGACTTGTCGTACTACGAAAATAAATATTAAAGTTTATGTGACATGTTACATATTACACATTTAAGATTTTAGAATTGCACTCATTGATGAACAATTAAACGATTTTAATCTTTTTTGCTGTGCGATCTCTTACTAATATAAGCGTACGAACAGAAAAGTACAGAAAATCTTTGCCGACCATAGTCTCATAGGGGTAGAGTGAAAAGATTTCGTTTAAGCTAATGTAATCATTGCATCATCTCTCATCATCATCTCTCACAACATGAGTGAGGGCTATACTATCTGAATTTCGCTACATAAAATCATTCTTATACTTTTAGCTAGACGTCAAATCCGTATTATTTTAACGTTACAATAACTACAGATATTGAATTATCAACAAACGATAACTAAAAAAATATATGGACTGCCGTCCGTTGGTCTGTGCGTCGCGTCGGTGGCTTTTCTGGCTTAATAAAAACGTAAGCAATAGTTTGAGATATTCAATATTATTAAATAAGATTCCATATATTTCAAGGAGGATCCCTATTGATTTTTGTTATTGAACTCAACACCGGTTAAAGTTATTTTTTTTTCTTGTAAAAATTATAGTAACTATTTTCATCCCTTTTAATTTTAATTTTTAACATAATAAATAATAAGCGTGTGAAGCGTGCACTTTTCGAATTTCCAATTTTTCCGTATTCTACAAATAAAATATATTTTCTTATAAATCAATGTTTTTAAGACCAACCTGAAATCTGAAACGTAAAGTGTAAAATTGAGTGAAGTAGTTAAAATATACGCAGAAAAATTAATTCATCAAATATCATCGTCTATCTGTTATCATAGAAGGGAGGTCATAGTCATAAGCCCTATATATATATATTGTTTTTATGACCAAATAGTTCAGGTTTCTTTATACATATAATACTATCCAGAGTAACATTGGAACCCATGGACACCTGCAACTAACTTCAAACTAATTAAGCCATAGACGCATAGTGGAAAGATGAAACGCGTCACAACCTGTAATTATACGGGAGTTAGTATACCAGCTTACTTGGCTTTTGATCCGGACATAGCAGTGAGTGCACTGCTTCAGATAAAGTTAAGAGATCCAGCTCATGACAGGCAAAAATGAGTCCTACCACGTCGCAAATTAGGGATCTCGAAATTTCTTTTCCTTCTTTGATTTTTATTACACATACGATAACATTAGTGAAAACATATGACAGACCTTTTTCCCTAAAGGATGGAAATAGAATTTGTAGCTTTCATATTACTTATTTTATATTGTATGGTTAGTTTGAGAGCCCGAACGTCAAAGTTTTTTCCTGGCGATTAAGTTTTTTTTTATCTCGCTTAATGTAAATTATTTAAAAAAATCCAATTAATTAATAATTTATTAATTTTACGTCGTATAGCCACGCTGCAGCCACATGATGGTAGTAGCACGAATGAGTCGCCTCGACCGCGTAAGAACCACGCACTCACAGGATACCAGCGTAAAATAGCAGCTTAATGCTGCTGGGTTTTGTATGGTGATTGTAGAGATCCGGAGACCCTTTTTAACTGGAAACGAGGCAATCCATCTTAGTCCTCAGGGGTGACAATGCATCTGCATTTTGATTCTGAATTGAGGATAAATGTAGATGTCTATGGGCCACAGCATACCCCTATCATCAGGTGGACTGTGTGCTCGTTTGTTACCCAATTCTATAAAAAAAGTATTTCATATATGCGCATTTTTTTTTCAATTCAAGAAGTATATTTTATCCAACCTGGCTTTAAGGACAAAACAAGACAAAAACTGCTAAAGAAGGATATAAATTTAAATCTACTTTTATTATCAAGAATTATATTAATTATATATTTTAATTTAATTTTTTTTTCATTTATTAGGATTTAATTTGATTTTTTTAATATTACCTTTAAGAATATGTTGAATTTCTTCAAGATTAGCTGAAACTAATCGAATTTCATTTTGCAGGAGAAAGAGAATTAGTTTCAGGATTTAATATTGAATATAGAAGAGAGGATTTTGCTTTGGGGACAATAATAATTAATATCTACTCACGTTTCCGTTCATTTCCGGTTTTGATTTCTTCTATCTGTTGTTCATAAAAGCTACGCAATTCTGAAAGAATCTCATTTTGCTTCTTTTCAACTGCTTCTTTATCCTAATTGAATGCAAATAAAAGGCGTTTAACATTTAATAATATATGAGTACCAAAAGTGGGCAGGTTATTTACGTCCCACGCCTGGTCAAAGAGACATTAATTTCTGAGATAGTTAGGACAGGAAACGATTCACCACGCTGTCCCACAGCTGAAAATTTATACTTACTCGATATACTTAAGTTCATAGATGGATGGGTTTCCTCACGATGTTTTTCTTCAATGCCAAGCGACAACCTATTATATTAGTAAATAAGTATGATTGTTGAGCCCGAAAACCTTATATATTGCCGTTTCTTATGAAATAAGTTAACGTATTTTTTTCTTTATTATTTATTTCTATTAATCAATGTGATCACCAATGCAATGGATACATCTTTGCCAACGCAGTGGTAGTATTTATGCCCTTCTTGAAGAAATCAGTAGAACGCAAGGGAACAAACTCTTCAAAGGCATTTTGTACTGCCTCTAGGGTATTGAATTTTTACCTCGCCAAAAAGTTATCCAAATTCTGAAAATAGTAGAATTCTGTAGACAAGGTCTGGTGAATACGGCGAATAACGGAGAGCTTCCAACTTCAGCTCTTGTAACTTGGAGACCGTGTGTTGTGCAGTATGAAGTCGCACGTTGTCGTGCAGGAGCAGCAGGTACGAGCAATTGACCAAAGGTGATTGGAGACGTGCAAGCTTCTCCATCATTGAGTTCAGTTCTTTACAGTTCACATCTGCAGTAATGCCCATCCCGTTTGGTGAGAAGGTGTAATGATTCAAACCGGCGCTAGACTACCAAACCTAGGGGTTAGTTTTCGTTTAGGGCATTGTTTAGATGCTAAATCAGGACCAAACCAACTTGCTGAGCACTTGCGATTGTTAAACCGAATTCATTTTTCGTTTATCATTTGTTAAGCTTTTTTGATGCTTATATCGAATGCTACTGCTTATTCAGCCGTAGATTGAGTATTATCAGCTTCCACAATCGCCTTTAATTCGTCATTGACGACAAAAGTTTTCGGACGACTACGGGGCTTATTTTTCAGGTCGAAATTTCCAGTACGGAAGTGGGCAAACCAATAAAAGGTGGTACGTTCGTTTTTAGTATTCGCTTCGTAAACGTCGTTGATGTTGCGTGCTGCTTCTGTGGCGTTGCAGCCACAACGGTACTCAATACTCATATTCCATAATTACTTAAATTTTAACGTATCCGTGATGACGTAAAAGATTCAAATGCGATGAAAACATAACGTTAATCCATAAACAAATGAGTAATTTTGAAAAAAGAATTCCGTGTTTTAAAATAAAATTAATTTGAAATTAGAATTCTTAGCCCAACGAAAATAATCATCGAACCTTTTAGAGTCAGGTGGATCATGCTTACTCAATGAATATCTGTATGAGTATTGAATATTTATTTGTCAGTAATTTTATAAAGATACCACTTTAAAAGTTTGTCAGCCGCGAGACCAATATACGATGATGACGGTGATGATGATAATGATGTAGTCCTGGTTGATTACAATAACTCGTTACAACCACGCCGTGTCAACTAAGTCTAGACAAGAGACGACAAAAGGCGACAAGTAGGTATAGACCCAAACACATAATATGCCCTCATTAAGATCAGATGTGAGTTTGAATGCAGTGTCACTCGTGAGAATCCGTACTCACCCATATTTTGTATCTAGATAAGAAACCCAAATAACTAACTCAAACTAGTACCGGCGGCGGCGGACTGCAGCATAGCAGTCACTAGTTAAGAAAACAATGTACTGTAGTAGTTTTTTTTTAAAATGTTAATTTATATTATAGTAATTTTCTACAGGCAGAGACGGGGTAGGAGCTTAGCGCTTGACGAATGACACGGGTAGTACCTACTATTATTTTTATTTATTCTGTGACACGGGTTCAATCGCACTTCCCCGCTCGCACCAATGAATTATGTATATAGATAAGTACAATTTAAGCGCTGATTAGTAAATCATGCTCGGCGGTGAAGGAAAACATTGTGACGAAACCTGCATATATAAAGAATAAAAAATTCTATGACAAGTAAGGTTCGCCATCACGCACTAGAGCTGTACGGCGGACTTACTGCTATAGAGCCAGCCGCGGGTTTTACTTTTAACTTTATGATATTATGGCAGTTCGTTATAGCACTTTATTTCGAGATATCTGAGTTTATCTGTAGCTCAAGCCACAAAGCCATGGAGTGTAGAAGTAAGGAGTACCAACTCCCATAGTAGAATAGTTGAAAAAGTGGCCATCTGTAAGCAGTAAATAACAGTTCAAAAACTTTGCACAACAGCGCTGGCGTAGTTTCTGGGATGAAATGAACTTAGCAGTTGTTGACGGTTAGAAGTGTGCTGCTAAACTGCTCAGTAGCTCTAAAATCTAAAATAATTTTATTTAGTAAATATAACCTCGAAACAGTCGTCTATCCTAATAAAATTTTAGCTATAGTGGCGCCACCCTTATTTAACGGTTTTCTATGGATACTTTTTAATACACAGTCTGTACTCCTTACTTCTACACTCCATACACAAAGCAACAACGTCGACAAGAGTATGTATAATAATTATATGTATATCATCATGTATAATCTCACGATTTATAAGTATGCGCCCCTTTTTTGGGTATATTATAGAAATCCACATGTATCTCTTGCAATAAAAACCTACTTCTGTAGTTTTACCTTTTCCATTGCTACTATAGTAGTGTCTTTTGCAATAATTTCTTCTTTCAACCTTTTTACGTCTCTTTTAAGATAAACCAACTGTGAAATAGTTTCTTGTAGATTTCCAATCATTTCACGCGAATTCTGTAAATGGAAACGGTGAGATTTTTCTAATTCGCGAGCTTCTTTTATGTCCGTTTCTAATTTTGTATTAATTTCTTTTAACTTTTTACATTCTTCTCTTTCGTTAAAGTGCCCCTGTTTTGATTAATGTATTGTTGATAAGTTGATTTTAAATTTAAATTAATAATAAAACATCATTTTAACGATAAGGTAAATTAGATGAAATTACGGTTTTGCATTTAGAAAAACTTGCTAATATATTTTGTAAGCGATCTTTGGGATAATGCATATTATTATTTAATTTCATTTCATCCATGTTTGTAAATTTTATTTGTGTTTTTGTACAATTTTTAAATTAGTTAATATTTTTTCTTTCTTCGGTATGGTTGTACTTTTGCCATTATTATTCTTTCTTTGGTAATGAACTCGTATGGATGTCATTTTGCCAGTATTAAGTAAATAAATAGTCTTATAGTTCATAAAAGATAGCTTGATCTCTGCGACAGCTGTCAGTAAAAATCACGACTATGAAGTCCTGAATTTCTTAGTAGTACAGACAGTACCTGTCAATGTCATACTTTATGGGCGTGCACTAATTAGGTCGACAAACAAGAATGGCGAACTATTATTATCACATTTTTTTCTGAATATTTTGTTGCCATTGCAAAGATAAAATTCACTCTCATTGATGACAAATTTCAAATAGCACCATTTCTTATTTTTCTACTGTATTATTAACATCGGTCTTTAGCGCTGTACACATTTAAAGCGAACGATGTCGTTTGGTACTACCGTATTGTAGTACCATTGACTGTTGACGCAAGAATTTTTTTTGGGGACTACAGACACCGTGGACGCTTGAGTGGTGATTACATTTCTGTTAGGAATCGTATTTCAGGTTTATTTGTTGTTTACACTATATATCTATTTCTTCAGAGCCAAGCATCGCTATTCCCGACGAATGGCCTGCACTCGTTGAGCATCGTGTCGAGTCAGAATAGGTACTTGGCTAAGTAACTTAATTAACATTTCGCAATGTATATCGTTTTACTCTATATTGCCGTCCCTTAGTAACCACGGAAAATCCATCGTGACAAAGGAAGGGGAAAAGATGCAAAGTAATACGGACATTCGCGCGCAGCGGTAGCAAGTTTTTTTTAGCTTGCTTGTGCGATTTATCTAGTTAATAATAATTATGTAGGCTATTAATCGTCGGCAAGCAGTCAACATCAAACGACTGCAACTTCTGTACGTAGTACTATTATTTTTTCTGTGGTATGGGTACTTATCTATTAGGTCGGGGAAAAGTATCATCGTATTTATAAATAAAAAAGACCACTCCTTTTCTGTCGATCAATTCCGGTAGTTTTTTCTCAATTTCTTGCTTGAGTCTCATCATTTGTTGGCAATAGAGATCCGAATCGATGGTTTTGCCCGGCGGTAAAAGCTTATAATAAACGATACCACTACAATCTCATCGTACACACAGCACCACCTTATTGCGTGTTAATTCAGGTTTCGCTACAATCGGTGGAGCTTGACTACCCTTTGACCATGATTTTCATCACTAGTGATCAAACTTTTCAAAAATAGTTTGGTTTCAAGACGTTTCAGTAGAAAATCGCAAATGAGTACACGATTCATTAAGTTTCTTTCAGTCATTTCGTGTGGTATCCAAATATCAAGCTTTTTTATATAGTCGAACTTTTCAACTGTTTTATGGTCAACCCTCAATTCCTCTGCTATGTCGTTACTACTACGAGTATGCCGATCTTGCTCCACATTTTCAAAAATGGCATCGACTTTATCCGTATGAGGACGACCGGAGCGAGTTACGCCTTTGACATCAAAATTCCCGGACTGAAAACGCTTGAACCAACTTTGTGCTACTTTTACTGACACTGCATTAGGTCCATAAAAATCACAAATTTTTTTGGCGGCTTGAGTCCCCTTTTTCCCTGTTTTGTAATAAAACTTCAGAATATATCGAATTTCTTCGTTAGATTCAATCATATTATTTAGAAAAACAATACAACCCAAGAGATTTTTCTTCACTTTTACGAGTATGCAAACAAAATACGAAGAAACTTTTTCCTCGATCTTTTATTTCTACCACCAAATAGCAGTGTGGGTATTGCTGTATTCTGGTCTGAATGGTCTTAGAGTGCTAGTATAATAACAGGGTGTGAAATATTCCACCATAGCCCTCAGAGGTGATAACGCATCTGTAGTCTTCTTCGTTTGAACTTAGCTGCCACAGTATCCTTATTGGTTCGTGGAAGGCATTTTATCCTTTTTTTCTTTGGTTATGAATACGTAATATTGCCAATACAAAGTAGCTGTAAATAATTTAAAAGAAACTAGTTTAAAAGAAATATGAATAAAGTTTTTATTTAACTTTGCTCAGCAATAGTTCAATGGAATACTTTCCTGATAACAAGATCACAAATTTTTCAACGAAATTACCGAAAGCTATTAAAATAGAAGGTGAATTATCGGTTGGAGTTGTCGAGTTTCAATATCCATGTATGGTACATGATACTTACATCTATGGTACGTTTACTGTTCAAGATCATGAAAATGTTATATACATTACAAAATCTATGTTAATGCCTAATGAAGATAAACCATCCATAGTGTACTACAAAAAACATATTCCAGCTACCAACTATGATAATGTTGAGCATATTTTAAGAGTGTTAAATGGTATCGGAGAGAATTTGAAATTTCGCTATGATGACATAACAAAATTTGTGTCTATTTCTGTTTTGGATAAAAATATAACATCAGTAACATTATCACCCAAATTAAGTTTAAAACTAGGTTATGAACCAAATAAAAATCTTCTAGAGAGAAATTTTGGAAAGTGTCCTGCTAATTTACACTTAGGGTTACCATCTCAACTCTTTCTATATTGCGACATAATCAATCCTCAGATTGTGGGTGATGTTATGACTCCTTTACTAAGAGTCATTTCATTAGCAAAATCCATTTATGGTGCAAATAAAATGCACGTTTTCTCTCAACCTCACTACCTACCTGTTATGCGAAGAGAGTTCGATACGCTGGAAATAGTTATAAGATCGAGCACAGGACAAAAAAATACCATTCCAGTTTGGAACCGTGTGTATTAAACTACATTTCCGAAAATTTTAACAATGAATTCTCTTCGTGATCATCATAAATGTCCATATGAAAATTATTATACACATCAAGCTGGGTCAGGAGTTGGAGTAATTTATAAGGGTTCACCATACCAACGCGGTCATGGTATTGGGAGCTTCTTAGGGGGGTTATTTAGATCAGTTTTACCTTTACTTTCAAGTGGTATTGGTAAGGAGGCATTAAGCGCTGGAGTAGGACTTTTATCGGATATGGTTCAAGCGCGTCCTATGGAAGCCTCAATAAAAGATCGTCTAAAACAAGTTAGTACGAATTCAAAACGAATGGCTGATGACAAAATTGATCAATTCAACATGACGGTATCTGGGTATATAACTAAAAGAAAACGATTGACCTCGTTCATTCCTCCATTAACTGCTAAAGTGCAAGCTGCGAAAAAACTTGGTCACAAACCAAAAAATATCAAAGATATATTTTAGTCTTTCCTTCATAATCATTCTTGCGAGTGCGTTAAGTCAGAATTGGATTTGTTTGCGCTACCGTCTACACAAACTAGCATTGAAAATGGATTGTGGATTCATTATAAACCAATTTCATCTCTTGGTGATGATGGACCTATCGAGTTTCAAGTTCCTGGGACAGGCGATGACTACATAGATTTGTCTCATACATTACTCCACATAAAGGCAAAAGTATTAAATCAAGATTCAACTAACTTGATATCTACTACAATAGTAGCATCTGTAAATAATTGGCTGCATTCACTTTTTAGTCAACTTGATGTTTATTTAAACCAAAAACTTGTATCACCACCTAATAATACCTATGCATATCGAGCATCAATGGAAACCCTTATAAACTACGCTCCTGCTGCTAAACAATCTCATCTTACTTGTAGTCTTTGGTATGATAATACAGCAGGAAAAATGTATTCTACGGATGGTAAAAACATAGGATTTGTTAAAAGACAGGAATTGGTTAGTGAAAGTAAGGAAATAGAAATGATTGGTCATCTTCACGGTGACATTTTCAACCAAGATAAATTTTTAATTAATGCTGTTGAAATGAGTGTTAAATTGGTTCGATCAAGAGAGAGTTTTAATTTAATTACTGGGTCAAACGATGTAAAGTTTAAAGTTTGCATTACGGACGCAACTCTTATTGTTCGACGAGCACGAATTAATCCAAGTGTATTACTCGCACATCAAAAAGTTTTAGCTTCTACCACTGCTAAATATCCTATTACTCGAGCTGAAGTAAAAGTTTTAACAATTCCATCGGGTGTTCAAGGAAAAACTCTTGATAATATATTTTTAGGACAGGTACCCAAAAGATGTATAATTGGATTTGTGAACAATTCTGCATTTAATGGTTCCCTTACTAAAAATCCATTTAACTTTGAAAACTATGGTATTAATTCTTTCAGCTTATATATTGATGGTCAACAAATACCTTCAAAAGCTTTGCAACCATCTTTTAATAATAGTATATTTACATCAGCATATCATACTCTATTCTCGGGAACTGGTATTCTCTTTCTTAATGAAGGAAATGGAATATCTTGTGAACAGTATGCCAAAGGTTACCGTCTATTAGCATTTGACTTAACTCCTGATTTATCAGCCAACTCTTCAGCTCATTGGAATCTCATAAAGCATGGTAGTGTAAGATTAGAAGTACGATTTGAATCCTCACTAATACAAACAATTAACTGTATAGTTTATGCTGAGTTTGATAATATTATTGAGATAGATAAAAACAGAAATGTTACTGTAGACTATAGTAGTTAAGGTTATAATATGTGTTGTGTGTTAGATTTTATGAGTTATGTGTAATGCATTTTGTGTGTATGTAACTATGTGAAATGTTATAAAATTAAATAAAACAAATTGTATGCAATATATTATTTTTTATTTCTTTATAAATCTTCTATTTAATCTAATACAAAACACTGTTCGAGTTTAAAGTTACATAGGACTCTCTCATTAGATCATCAATAATAACGAGATGTG